GTGAAAATTTCTTAACACAAGAGGAAACAGCATCCTGCCTGGTACCCACAAAACATTCTCATCTTTACTCTCATTTTACTCTTTAGTAAAACTCATTAAAACAAAAAAAGCAAACTAAAAACACAATAAAGAACTTATGCTCAACCCTAAGCAGCACAGGTAACTAAAAAAAAAAGTTAGAGAAAGAATGCAGAATTACAAAATGCTTAAAAGAACAGTATCTAAAGGCATTAAAATAATTAATCACCAAGCTTCCTCATCATGCACTCAGACAGTGCAAGATGATGGAAACTTGATGATTAATTATTTTAATCATCAGTGCAGTCAGACTTAAAGCAGCAGCCCTCATCACTCAGGCAACCAGTATTTGTATTTTTCAACACATCTGTTGCAAAGACTGTTTAGAGAGTAAAGACAGTTTACTGCTGCCCTACCACAGTCTCCCAGTCATGCTCTGCAGCTGGAAAACATGAGAAGTCACCTTCATAAACCAATAACTCTTCTTGCTCAATCCCATGGCTCATGTGAGTATTTGAGGGGGACTGAGCTGACAGGTTTTCCCACAGCCCGCTCAGCATTCATTCTGTGCCTGGGCACCACAAGGCACAGAAACAGCTAAACCAACTGTGCTAAGGTTTTACATGCAGCTTTGCAACAAGCATAAGCAAAACTGCAGTAACTGAAGCTTTCTTTCAGAGCTTGCAGATTACTTTAGACAAATATATCATGAAGACATTCTTACCTGCAGCAGGGTCCTTCTCCTGGCATTCTCCTGGCACTGCAGCAGCAGGCAGCCTTCAAGGTGATGTGGGAGAGCTGCCCACCCCTGGCACAACACTCACCCGCCTGTCACTAGCTGCCAGCTCGTAAAGCGAAGCAACAGGGTAAAAGAAAAGACAGGGAAAGGGAGCAGTGCACTTTCCTCCCCAGTCTGCAGTGGGTAGAGAGCATACCACCTGCATTTTGTCCTTGGAAATAAAAGGCAAAGCGAGGGCACTGGTTCCTCCCTCTTGGTTGGGTTGCAGCAGCTACAAGGCTCTCTGTGTCACTTTGATCTGCTCCAGCAGGAGACCACCTTCAGATGCCTCTTTGCCCTCCACAACTGGTGCTCAATTCCCAGGCTCTCGGTGCAGGGCTAGCAGTGAGAGCTGTTTTCCTCCTTGGCAGCTCTGACTACAAAGGTGCAGCACAGCCGCTAGCTGGGGAAATGGGCAGCCTCCCACTCCCTTCACTCCTTGTCCTGCCGCTGCCATGTCAGGTGCATGGCACCAGGGCAAGCATCAGGCTGAGATGCAGCCAGGATGTTGGCACACTGCAGAAAAGTTCTATGCCCGAAATACACATTTTAAAAAAGGAAGTCACTTTCTCCTGCCTTGGTTACTCAAACTTTACCAGGCCTCTGCAGCTAGACTACAGTCCAACAACATTTTCATTTACTCCACGTACAATATTTGAGTTCAAAAGCAGGTCAGAATAGCACTGGTCTTTGAAAAATATTTTAAATACAAGTTTTCTGTCAGAAGAGTAAATCCAGCTAAAGATGTAAGAGGGCAAGATGAGATATTCAGTTCCTTTAAAATATATCACCACATGAGATCTGAGGAAGTGGAAATCAACTGCAGTACTGGTGATATGAAGAGAGTCAATAATTCAAGCATTCAGGGCAATATTTTAGCCTTAACTATAGATGAAAGTTATTGTTCCTCTTTTGACTTGATCACTGGAGCAGGGTTCTGGTTAAAATTTCACCTGATATGTTTTCTTTTTGGTAAAACGCAATGTAGGCCTCAAGTGACTCCTGCCCAGCTAAGCAGTTCAGAAACCAACAGCAGATTGAACAAAGGAGGTGTTGAGGGTAATCTTCTGCCCTCAGCAGCCCTCCTGTGGGCCCTGATGCTGGTCAAACATGGGGTTTGTTGCCATCCTCAGGTGTAACACAGATGTTTGAGGACAGACAATGGAGATAGTTTGTGTTCTCCACCCTGGCCTCAGCCAGGCGGCCGTTTCACGCAGCCCCACACCACACACGGCCGCCAGCTCTGAGGGGAGCAGAGGCACCTCAGGAAGCTCCCAGGTGACTCAAGAACGAGCAGCAAAAGCAGCCAAGCGGGAATTTGTTCTCTCCACTTCGCTCTCCACAAGCAGGGCCCAAGGCGGGCTGTGCTGGAGCCCTCACGCTCCTGGGCAGAGGAGGTGCTCTCATGCTGGGCAGTGCTGTGTGCCCGCCTCCCTCACACCGTGCCCCCCAAGGGAGGCACTGCCAGCGCTTCCAAAGTGCACTAGGACTTGGGAGCTGCCCACGGTTCAGTCCACCTTTTCTTTCTCTTTACTCACCTCTACAGTGCTTCGTATTTTCTTCTTCCACACTTCCCAGCACTGTGAATGTTTAAGGACCACTGGCCTTTTTAACCAATTTTAAAAGAATATACCTCACCCAAACACCTAATTGGAGGAAAACCAAGCATTTTTATTTGTCTAATAGTGATTAAGACCACTTGTGAGAATCTGAAAATAGCAAGAAAATGAAAGAGGTACATACGCTGCTCAGAAGTTTTCTCAGAAAAATAAATTACAATTCATTTAGATTATAACATTCTGCAAGGCTTGGGTTTGTTTGTTTGGCTTGGTTAGTTTGTGTGGACTTTTTTCCCTGTATTTAAATCACTGAAGTTTCAAACATGATTTCCTTTGTGCACAGGTGTGCTGAATTTAGTTTTACGCTAATTTTATGTCAAAACACTAACTTTAATCTAATTCACTTGAAAAGTAAGCAACCACAGAAGTGCTCCACTTGTGTCCAAATGCAGATATAACCTGGTTTTGTTCACTTGAAAAGTAAGCAACCACTTAGTTGAGAAGTGCTCCACTTGTGTCCAAATGCAGATATAACCTGGTTTTGTGTTTTTTAGCTCCCTTAAATTTCCTGTTCATATGTAAAAGCAGAGGCCCAAGCTGACTCCCAAAATGACAACATATTATTCTTTTTCCCTTTTACACATTTCATTTCTTCACAGTGCAGGTGTGTACGTCTTTGTTTCCTTGGGATACTTGGTTTTAGCACCTTCCTCAGGACACAGAGGGATTAGTGTTTACCAAGGTGCCACTCGGAGCTGGAGGCCACTGCAGGGCCAGCAGGGCCCGATCAATCCCCGGGTGCCAGAGCAGCATCGCAGCTTCCCACTCCCTGCCTCTGGAAAGAGAAATTCTACACCATGACAGCTAACTCTTTAGCAAAGTTCACCTCAAACCCTCAACCTCAAGTGTTAAAAAAGAAAAGCCCTTAAATGATACAAGTTATTACATTTAATCCCTTTGGGGGAAGTGGGGAATGATTTTGTGATTAAGGACCTACTGTGGGGCTCCAGAGAATTAGTTCAATTCCAGACTCTGAAACAAGCTTCCAGGTTCCCCTGGGAAAGCCTGTGCAATCTCCTATCTCACATGGACACCAGCAGGGCAATTTGTAAGTGTGTGCAGCCCTCAGACATTGTAGTACCAACAGCTAAATAAATTCATAGTTAGGTGAGGTTCAATAATTTTGAGGGCTAGTTACCTATTCAATGACAGCACTACCATTACACTATCACTTACCACAAATCATTCTTAAAAATTGGTATTACATTCTTGAAAAATAGTAAGCTACATTATTACTTACTCCAGGGCTGACAGGTAGTTCCTAAGGGTTTAGTTAATGTATTAATGAAAATGATGAATGAATGAAAAAACCTGCAAGACAAAAATAAATTGGCAGGTCTTAGAGAAAGACACCACTTAGTTCTCAAGCACAGAACTATTTTCTATGGTATGCACTGCAGAGCAATTTTGTTCCATTAAAATTTTTAGCTGGTATTGTTTCTTGGCAAAAAAAAAAAAAAAAAAAAGAAAAAAAAAGAAAAAAAAGAAGGAATTAAAAGAATTGATCTAATTAATAGAATGAATAAATTTAATAATGAAAACTCATCTGACAATGAGTTGTGATAGAGAAAATCCAGTAAGCACTATCAGAAAAACATAATACTGAAGTCACTGTGAGGTCACCTTCTAGACAGCGAAGCGCTGCACAATGCACTGTGATGACATTAGACAATTTGTCTTGCAAAAAGAACAAAACAATTTAATTACTCTGATATTAATTACTGATATTTAATTACTCTGATACTGCTAAGAACACATACTAGTCATGTTCTTTGCTACTCATTACCAGTGGAAATTTTCTCCTACTATTATGAAAAACAGATGCTACACACCAGAAATATAAAGCAAAAGCTACTTCCCATTTTAAAGACATGGCAATAATTTTACAATTTCACTCATTTCTGCAAAGGTATTGTGCCTATTATGGTTGCAGGTAATGATGTATTTAATGCATTACAAAAGTTACATTCAGTAACTTGACATATACTTCACATACTTCTAAACTATTTTCTGTAGGAAAACAATCATCTCTCTCAGAAATTGGAAAAATCCCCATAAAATTTCAAGATCAGCATTGCTGACATGTTTCTATTCAATCTATAAGCAATATTTTAATCTTAATATTAAATATTTTGCATGTATTAAGTCCACGTATACTTGGTATTTTCATGGAATAGATGTTAAAAATGTTTAAATCTGATATTTGACTGGAATGTATGTAACTACAAATTAAGGCAGTTCTTCACATTATTTTACTTCACTACTTTTCTAATTATTTCAATTTTTTTCTTTAATTTTCCCACTGTTATAATTTCAACGTATAATAGAAGTTAAAGCAGTTGAAAATTAAAAATATCCAATCGCTAGCAAATTCAGCATTTAAGAGGCTGATATAAAACTGTTTCAAACTGTCAGTTAACAGACCAGCAACTCACACCAACAGTTCTTGGTCAGTGTCTTCACCTTCACCCCTCTAAGGTAAAATGCAGAAACGACTGCAGGATTTTCCATGAATTAACAGAAATTCCATCCATCCTACCCAACATGCAGAGAAAGCCAGGTCTGATGAGACCTGCCCATTCTAATCTGAATAGTCTGATGAAATTCAAACACAAGCTGAAAATGGGGGCAACTGTGTAAAACACACAACTTTATTCTGTGACTGTTTACAACTTGAATTTAAAATCACAAAGGTGCAGCAGTGACATTCATGAGCATTTGTTTTAAAGGAAAAGCCTTCTTAAATTTTTCATTTCTTGCAGGTGACAGAGGGTGTGATGTTGGTTACAGGACTTCCACTATTCTCAGTGCTGTCAGTGTCTTCTTAGCTAAAGCTCCCCGTTGCTGCTGCACTGGTTTAACAGGAATGGCTGTGACAAAATATAACAAATATTGTAAGACAGTTGTAGTTTCTGCATTTGCTCATCCTCCCCACATCTGCTTACATCTAAAAATCAATCCCCTCTTTCATCAGTGAAAGGTTAATTGCCACCTTAATATTTCATTTTATTGTATTACCAAACCTAATGATTTGATATACACTTTTGTGTGTTCCATGTCCTTGTGGTGTCCCACCCTGAAAGGGAAAGAATCAGGCATATATGCCCATGGCTGGATAGGAATGACAGAAGCAGGAGGGACCACAAAAACTCACAATGTTTTATTAGTTAATTAAACACTTGGCATGAAAAACTGGTTATTTACTCCTTGTAGCATAAACACATGGTGGTGGATTTTTGAGGAGGGAGGGAGGGAGGGAGGGAGGCAGGAAGGAAGGGAGGAAGGAAGGAAGGAAGGAAGGAAGGAAGGAAGGAAGGAAGGAAGGATTTTCAATATGGAAACAGTACTTTTCAGGCTGACATGGGCTTGAAGAAAAATGACTGCTGTTTTCATTATTTAAATGAAAAGTTCTTTAAATCATTATTTAAATTATTTAAGTTCTCCAGCGAGAATAGATGTGTAGTTGTTAGCATCAGGTTCTAGCCTGAAATTATTTACAGTTATTAAACCAAACAGCTACAGGGCTTTGTCACTCACCTGGTGGCTAAAGGGCAGGTGTCCCTCCAAGTTGTGGCCATTTTGCAGGTTGATGTCAAGAACATCCCAGAAGTCCAAATCTTTTAACAGGTGCTAAAAGAAGAGGTGGAGGATTTTCCTGTGCATCTGAGAGTCCTGTTTGGAAATAGTTTTTGTGTTTTGTTGTCAACTGCTTTAAAACAAACAGTAAAATCCACCTTTGTTTGTACAGGACACTCCTTTTAACTGTGAAGGTCTAAAACCACCAGGCTTAAGAAATGCTGAAAACAGGTAACTGAAAGCAGATACAGCAATGAGCACTGCAGCCCAACAGCTACGAACACCTTGGCCTCTCTCATCCAGTGCCCTACTTTAAAAGATGTACAGGCACTGAGCTACCAGTCCCATAGGTATTAACAACACAGCACACTGACCTGCAGTGTTACTAATCATAGCATGAGCACACTACAAAGTCAAACTCTCTGATATTAACGTTAACCTGCACACAAGTTAAAACAAGTTAAAACTGACAAATGAAGTGCAATTGGTATGAACAGTTAAAGCCAGATTTTATTTCACGACAAACAGATGTCATCTGAGGCTGGTTCTAAGCAAGGATTTAATCCATAATGTAGGTCACTAGTTTTGATAGAGTTTGTGCCTAGTATTCATCCAAGGAATCAGACTCGGCACATCAATAGCTGTCAAGAGTGTGCATGTAGTTTCTTTTTACACCAGTGTTTAATAAAATAAAATAATCCAATTAAGCAGGTGTCACAATATTTTTTTGCTGACTTCCCCATAATTTTCAATCATTAAAGCAGTATTTAATTTACAACAAAACACTATAATCCTATGCATCCAAGAATATTCATGTTTAAAATCTGAACCGCCCTCACCGTTTCTGCTGCCCTTCTGGTTTCCCCATGAGCTTCAATAACTCAAAAGAATTGCAACCAACTTGGTAACTAAAAAAGAAAGCTTTGTGGAATGGGAAAAGTTCACAACAGGGGAGGAAAAAAAGCATTCTAAAATAGCCAGGTGTTCACCTCAACCCATACCAACTTCAAACAGATGCAAGGACATAGCTGAATCTGATTTCAGACTAAGGACATGAAAGATGAGTTTTATGTTCTTATGCTTTTATAACATTAGAATGAATTCATTTTTAGATAAAGAATAGTATACTCCCCTACTCTCCAATTCTTTCACATAAAATTTGCTCTGAAAATAGCATGGCTGAGTTCCACTCTTTCAACTTTATTTGATCACTGCCAAATATTTGCAAGTTCAGATTTTTCCACATCTCACCCATCTACTTGATTGCAGTTCATGTAGTACCTAAGTTTTGTTCTACTTCTATGAATAAATGTACCGTGGCAAGGGATCAAGTCAGTCATGGAAAAAGAACTAATTACTTTGAAATACGAAGCTGTAAAGTGCTGAAAGAGTGCTGGAAGAAGAGCCCCTGACAGCCTTTCACCCAAGTCAAGGTTTAACCTTAGGAAAGGATGACTAGCCTAAGACAGCAATACTGCTTGGCAGCAGAGGGGGTGAAGGTGTGCTCAAGGTGTGGATGGCAGTGCCTGTCCATGGCCTTACATCCTCATGAGATTGTGTCTTCAGGTGAAGGATGAGTTTGTTCAATAAGTTTGGGTCTAAATAAACAGAAGTGGTGAGCAAGCCTTCAAAAGAAACTAGGAGCACAAGTAGTTGCCTGCAAGAATCTCACTATCCTCTGATCACAAGGGCATAGGAGAATTCTCTGTAGAGTAGTTCTACAGACAAAATTACACCAATATTCCAAGTCTATAACTTACATATGTGTTGGGTGGGGACTTTTTTTGAGGTATTCTTCTCAATTTTAAACTTTTAATTAAAATAAGTTTATGTTACTGAATCCTGTTAAACCAAGAGTTGCATTTTATTTTGATGGATCTCACTAACTTAAATGCATTTCTGCATACAGTGTTATTACAACTTAAATCCTCAACAGCATTAGTAGATGATCAAATACTTTGCAACTGTAACCTGTGAGAGAGCAATTCCCCATCAGGGACATGTGTATATGTCTTTAGAACATGTCTAATTTTGTGAAGAATATCTGCACATACTCCAGGGTGCACATGCCCATTAACAGACACACCAACATTTTATACACAAACTTTTGATCTCTAGTGCCTGTCATTTATTTACAGATTATTTCTTATATATAAGCAAGCTTAAATCAGATTTAAAAGTTGCTCCAAGTTGTATTTCAGAGGGAGAAAAATGAATACCTTCAATTATCTCGTAGTTGAAGAGTCACTTACTGGGTTCAACTTCAACCAATCCAGGTATTTTCTTGCTTGTAACAGAAATAAGTCTCATGTCCAGAGGCACACTGCACATCTCACAGCTCCCATGCTAGGCAGTCACCTGCCAATCACCTGTCTAGTGTGAAACCCTGGTACACTCAGCAGATCTGTTCCCAAGAGCCTTAACTATGAGAGCCAGTGCACCCTGCACAGACACGTTATGATGTGCTACAGAGAACAGAGAGATGGCTTTATCAAACTGGTGTTTGCATCGACTTTGCACTTCTCCAGACAGATGAAAAATACAGCTGCTGAGTCTGTGCAATATATCAGAGTGAGATGTTTAAAGCTCAGTATTGACCCAGCCCTCCTGTAGCTGCAGAGGTTAGTTTTGATTTAGAACCTGTATATTAACTCAATTTGAAATATAAATGAAAAGCTGTAAGTTCTCCTTCCCCCTGTCAAATCATTATTGGTCAGTTTTAACTTTAGATCATGAACAAGATAAAGATTCCCAATCCTACACAAAGTCTTTCACAAACATCTACACCCAAAATAATAGGATTTGTACAGATTTTTTCTTAATTTCAGAATATTTTTAACTGAAGAACAGGGCAGTTACTTTTACTCCAGGAGAAATTGCATTTTTGTTACTGTGTTTCTGATACATGGAAATATGTGAAATTTGTAAATTAACAATAAAAAGTTCTGAAACAAATACAGATAAATCTTAAAATGCATTTTTATTTAGTTACATAGAATCAACACAAGAAACTGAAACTATAATTAGGCAATTACTATGTAATTTCTATCATTTAATTATTATATTTGAGTTTGTTAAGTGCATTTTATGCCATGTAAGCAGCAATCCAGGACAGACATTGAATCACTACATGTATTATGCATTATTAGAAATTAATTCAGTGAACTATTTCAAAGCTGTCTCATTTTAACTGGGTCAAATTCTGTTACCCAGAAGTGCAATGAATCTGTGTTTAAAATTTAAATGCGTTGAAAGAAATTTAAACTGCAGTTCTGAATGGAGAATATTTTAAGTGACATCTCTCAAACAACTTAAACTTTCTCTAGATAGAATAATGAAGTCTGATTACAGGGCAAGAGGAAAATGCTACCTTGAGCTGTTCAAGAATACAAAACAGTCATTTAACTTCTTGGAGAGCAGGTGTGAGATCTGATTTACGTGAGGTATGTTATTTTCACCTCATGTTCAGGCTTCTGTAAGTGATTGCCTATAATTCTAGAATAATCCCCTGAAGAAAAGAGAAGTTGGTTACATAAAACTAAAAGGCTGTGTCACTGTTTCCCATTGCTGGGCTGTTGCCATCTTGTATGTATCAGAAGCCACAAGTACTAAGTCCAATGCTGAGCTGTGAGAAATAAACAGAACAATGTGTTCTTTGATCGAAACACCTTCTACAAAAATGGGAGGTATCTGTGATCTCTATTTTAAGCTATGCAGAAAAGAAAGTATTTGTTACAGTAGGAAGTTGTAATATACATCAGAGGAAGATTTTTAGTTAATGATTCCTGCTTGATCACATTTTAGTGATAGAGTGAAAAACTATTAACATTTATATTTATAATCTGATTTTATCTCATCATCCTAGCATACTGAGAAATATTCAGCTGAAAAGAATATTGTCTATTATGAACTATTACACTGACATTACTGTAATTTTGTTAGTAGTCTGTTTTTTTGCAAAAATACTGAAGATAGCTCAAAAATTGAGACTAGCAATACATATGTTCTGAGGATTGATGCTGAATCCTTTAAGAATCCTTAAGCTTTAAGAATTTTACTGATAACTTGATTTTAGTCATTTAACTTGGAAGATTGCATTTCTTAGCAATGTAAAGAGATGAAAGTCACAAATTCCATTTGCTTTGCCAACAAAAATATTTGTTAACACTGATCCTGAAATTACCAGTGGAACAGTAGACAGTCAAGGAAGAACTAACTTTTTATATTGGAATACACCTACTTTTTAAAGTACCTCTAGAAGTGTGTTATCTACATAATAAAGCAACATATTTAGTTTAAAACAACTGAAAACAAGTTAATTTCTCAGCTTTGCTATTTAATTGTTTAAAAAAAATATATAAGTCCACTTACAACCTGCTCCAATTATCCCACATGATCTTTGCATTTCAGACGCATTAACCAACCCAGCTGAAGGAGCTGTAGCTCTATCTGGATTCCTGTGCCTAAACAATTCAATAGATCACTAAACTGTGATAGTAGCAGAGAATTCCTAACTCTCATTTGAAGAGATTATGTACTACTACACACGTGCAACATTCCATGAACCAGAAGAGAGAATCTCTGGTGTAGTTCCAGTCATATCACCATCAGAAGGATATATGTCAAATTTGGAAGTCAGTGAGGAGGAAGGGAATTAAATATTGCAAAAGATATTGCCTAGATGCATAAGAAATTTAAAAACTAACTAGAAGTTTTAAGGTGATCCAGAAACATTAAATAGGCATGATCTTCAAACATTATCTACATATTTGCAGGGTCACATTTCTGAACTGGGTTACACCTACCTATGTAATTACCCTCTCTGCAACAGAATTAGCCAAACCCTTTAATATAAACCTACTTTTCCTCCTTGCTGGTGGCAGCAATGACAATCAGAAGGGGTCTGATTCTTTCTGCATCTGTTAGTAAAACTGTGTGTATAGCTTCCCTCTACAATCACCCCTGGTGTAGTCATCTGCAGCCAACTGGAAAATCAATTAAGGAGCAGCATAGACTGTAAAACTGTACTAGAATGTCACCAAGTTTCACTACTTTACTTCTTAATAATGCTGCTAAAAATTATAAAAACGGTTCCTTAAAGCAAGGGGTTCCCCCCACCTCCCCCCACTTTTCAATTCCCCTGAGTATATTTCTTAGACATGTAAAAAATGCTAAGAAACATGGCTGGTTAAACTGGGCTGCAAACTTCTCAGAATTATTCTCCTGAGAGCAGCCCATTCATCTATTCCAACCCACAGAACGTTACTTTTGTAGCATTCTCTCCTGAATTGTTTTCCATTTTGACTCAAATCTCACTCCAAGGGAAGGCAGTGCAACTAGGAAAAGCCACTAGACTACAGCCAGACACAACAGACTAACCAGGAACATCTTTCACCTGTGCTACAAAACATCTTTCACAAATACTTTTAAAGCCATGTTGAAAAAATACCCACAATAGATGTACACCAATGTAGGAGTCATCAAAAATGAGCTTGCTTGCCTATCTCCAACAGAAGCCACCTTCCAATTTTTTTGGGATCTGCAAAATCTACACACAGCATACCAAAGGTCAAAAGTACAAGCATATTTATACAGTCCTATTCAGGCAGTATTTGCATAATGAATCTACATCACTGCTTGGCTAAGTTACTATTATTATTAGATACTATTAAATATGATTATTTGCTTAAGTTTCTCTCACCTTGTTTTAAAGGTATGGTGCATTTCGTAAAGATTTCTACTGGGAAAGATAAGAATATTAGTTTAGGTATATGTTACCAGAAAAGACTTTTAAAAGCTAGACTAATCCAAAGTGTTAAACAAATAAGCATACTTAATAGATTTTCACACTACATTTGTTTTGTAAAGAGCACCATATCAACTAGATGTCATATACTATTTTTCCTTCACCACTCTTCACTAACAAACTCTAGGGAGATGTGAAAAGGTCAGATTTCCTTCTTTGGGTTTGCCTAAATTACTGAATGCCATATAACACACTAAGAGCAGCTCAGTCAGCTCCTCCTGACAGTGCTTAAATAAAACCTAAAGTACACGGACATCACAACAGTCACAGCAAAAATTTGCAGTCACAGTGGGACATTTTAATCCAAACTTTCTGCTTACTCAAGATGCTTCTAAAGCTTTTGCTACATCCATTTTCCCCTTAAGTAAAGAGGTACTGAAAAGTATACTGCAGCAAGTGCCTTCATTAAGCATCAGCACTAGAAGTGACTTCTGCATTAAGGGAAGAGAAATTTAGCAGAATAAACACCCCCTTGGCATTCCAACTGGTCTTCAGAGATCAGAGGGGCTGGGTGTGACCAGGTTTGATTTCTGATTAGAATCAATTAAGCACTATAGGTCTGGTTGAATTCAGTAAGAACCTCCATGATTACAGGTTCATAAATAGTACAGTTTATTGAAGCAACAGGAAAGCAGGTTCAGGATTGCCAGTTATAAGGGCATTAACAATGGATTTTGTTTTATAAAGGTACTGATAACCTGAGTACAAATAATTAAATATAAAGAATCCATTTAAATTCTGTATTTATATAGAAACAGTGTTTTTCCTCAGAAGATGATTAACCAAAAACCCCAAGAGAAATTATCTCCCATTTCTCTGGTATAGCTGCAATACTACAGAGAGAAAAGCAAGGGAAGTTTACTTAACAGAGAGATTGCCATGGATATGCCCTTCTGTAAGCAGGTATAGGGTGGAGCTATGTGAGCAAAAAGCTATAATCAAATTTGTGTTCTTGTGGCTATTTTGTTTGTTTTTCATAAGAAGCACTTATTAGTCTGTAAGAAATCCTTGTTATGCAAAAGTAGTATCAACTTTAACCCTACAGGACAAGCAGACAACTGAATGCAAACAACCTTCACAGCAGTTGCTGTGAATAGGATCCCAAGCTGAACAAACAAATGCCCAAAATGATGGCAGGAAACAAGAAATACAGTAAGAAATACAGCATATCCTGGCAAGCCAGCAGTGTACATGGCTCATAGTTTCAAAAGCCAACAAACCTCCTACTCCTGCGTCTGGCACAAAGCAGGCTGTGAGCAGAGCAGCTCAAACAAGTGATTAGATGCCAGCTCTCAGAAGCTGCCACAGGAATGCAGCTGTTTCAGCACCACAACCTGGCCCGCTGTGCTTTGCACCCATCACAGCTGGTGGGAACACCTCAGGGCTACCCCACCCAGAGGTGGTAGCTGCCAGCCAGGAAGGGAGATGGGGACATACCCATGGGGAATGACCCGGCACACAGGAACAGTGGTTCCATCACCTCTCAAGGTTTGCCTGCCCACAGCACAGATTCCACACCACTACCTCCAAAAGAAATGAAACAAATCTTGGCTTCTCCGCATCATTAGTAACAAACAGTTTGGTTTTCCTATGAGCCTGTATGGTTGTGGTCTAATGTTTTTGGCACAAATCTAAGATTTCAAAGAAAAATGTCCTTGTTCTAAACACTTAGCTTTCAACCTGAGAGTCAGTAAAAGAAGTTGTCACTCTATTATCATACCAGGAGTGACATTTGAAGGACTAAAGCAGCCTTGAAAACAAGGCAAAATCAGGCGAATACAGCTTTTAGAAAACCAAATACAATGTGTAGGAGAATATGGGGATTAAGGGGCTGAGAAAACTCAACTGGGGAATTAAATGGGAAGGACTAGAAAATAGAAAAGCTGAATAAATATGGTTCAAGACTGAGCAAGAATCCATATCCTATTTTTAAAAAGTGACTAAAAAGTGAACAAGAAGTTGATGAGGGAGTTTCTTGTGCTAAGTGTAAGCAAATCTGGGAGAAAATAAATTCCCTTGCATTCCAGCTGATCCTCAGTTATCAGAGGGGCTGGGGGTGGCTGGGCCTAATTTCTGAGTAAAAGCCAATTCAGCACAGTAAGTAAATGCAGAGCCAGTTCAGCATTAGAAGTTCAGCCACATTCCATAAGAACTAACATGGCCTGATTCACAAATAGCAAATTATTGAAGCAGCAGAAATGCAGATTCCTATTGGATTGCTGGATTCGATTTCTTGCTCAGAAACTGATGTGCCTCTAGTGTTACAGCTGTGTAAAGAAGAACACTAATCTAAATAAGAGATTAAGTTATCCTGAATAAAAGAAGCCGGTCTTCTGAAGTGTTAGATGGAATATGATGGTGAAGTTTTACCACACCTGCTGTAAGTACCTAAAATGATAAAAAATCTCATTCCAGGTGCAGAAAAAGAGCAGAGGAACACAAATTAGCTTTACAGTCTACCAAAATTCAAACCATTTATACAATCTCAAGACATAACTTATCATGTTCAATGTGGCAGAACAAGTTTCATACTACATTTCTAAGAAGTGAAAATGAATCTTCTATTACATCAAGCCACACACAATCCATATTTCTACACTATACTTACATTGTGTAGAGATGATCCTCTGGATTTCGTTCAGATGTCTAGCAAAAGGCATTCTCTTTTCTACAGAATATGCATCTGTTTGATGAAGCTCATCTTCCAGGATAAACTTTAAAATATTTTCTATTGGCCTGCTAAAAAAAAAAAAAAAAAAAAGGAGCTTTCTGATCAGATTTTTTTGTTGTTGTTGTCTAAACCAAGTCCAGAGTATGGATCCTCTTATAGAAAAACCCCAGCAGTACTGTAGATAAGTAAAAGACTCCACAGGGAAAATGAGATGAAGAAAAAAAGGACAGTCTCTTGGTAAGATATAAGCTTTAAGCTTCCAAAATCTACTCAAAAAAGGAATATAAAGCATATAAACACTATCATTGTATCACTAAATGCAAGTTAGGATTATACCCTTCAAACTTACTTCAGTAAACAGATTTATAAAAATACAGGTTTAGTAAATGCAAAAAGACTGAATACGTAACAGTCTCAAACATTACCATGGTATCTCTGAAGTTACACTTTCCCTCAAGAGGGAGGGATTGTTCAGAGGAAAATGAATGTGAGAAAGGATATGTAGACTAGAAAATGCAGATGGCTGGAAAAGCAAAGTAAGAAACAAGTGACCCATCCTGATTATCTCTGATAGCAGATGCTGCCAACAGATGCTCTCACATTATGCTCCAAGTACAGCTGTGAGAATCAGAAATAGATACCAAAGATGCTACACTCAGAAAGAAGCATTCCTTGCACCTCAAGAAGAGATATTTGCGACAGCACTCTAAACTGACAAAGCATGGTTCTTCCAACCACCTCTGCCTTGTGAAGCAATCCAAGAGTACACCCAGCCCTTTTGCTTAGGCTGGTAATTTTCAGGCTTCACGCATGTTGGCAGAAAAAGATATCAAGGGTGACTAACAGATGCACTAACCCTAAGAAACATTTTATTTAAGTCACAGCTGTAGTGTGATGACAGTTACATTGCCTTGCCTCATTTATCTTGGCTAGTCAACAGAGTTGTACAGTAGACAGTAAAAGCTATTTGGGAGGAAAAAACAAGTCCATTGATCAGATTTTTTTGTTGTTGTTGTTGTCTAAACCAAGTCCAGAGTATGGATCCTCTTATAGAAAAACCCCAGCAGTACTGTAGATAAGTAAAAGACTCCACAGGGAAAATGAGATGAAGAAAAAAAGGACAGTCTCTTGGTAAGATATAAGCTTTAAGCTTCCAAAATCTACTCAAAAAAGGAATATAAAGCATATAAACACTATCATTGTATCACTAAATGCAAGTTAGGATTATACTCTTCAAACTTACTTCAGTAAACAGATTTATAAAAATACAGGTTTAGTAAATGCAAAAAGACTGAATACGTAACAGTCCCAAACATTACCATGGTATCTCTGAAGTAACACTTTCCCTCAAGAGGGAGGGATTGTTCAGAGGAAAATGAATGTGAGAAAGGATATGTAGACTAGAAAATGCAGATGGCTGGAAAAGCAAAGTAAGAAACAAGTGACCCATCCTGATTATCTCTGATAGCAGATGCTGCCAACAGATGCTCTCACATTATGCTCCAAGTACAGCTGTGAGAATCAGAAATAGATACCAAAGATGCTACACTCAGAAAGAAGCATTCCTTGCACCTCAAGAAGAGATATTTGCGACAGCACTCTAAACTGACAAAGCATGGTTCTTCCAACCACCTCTGCCTTGTGAAGCAATCCAAGAGTACACCCAGCCCTTTTGCTTAGGCTGGTAATTTTCAGGCTTCACGCATGTTGGCAGAAAAAGATATCAAGGGTGACTAACAGATGCACTAACCCTAAGAAACATTTTATTTAAGTCACAGCTGTAGTGTGATGACAGTTACATTGCCTTGCCTCATTTATCTTGGCTAGTCAACAGAGTTGTACAGTAGACAGTAAAAGCTATTTGGGAGGAAAAAAAAAAAAAAACAAATATTTTTAACAGTCCAAGAAGTTTTACATTAGAAACAATAAAGGAATTATAATTCACTTAGGTATCTCAAGGGTTATAGACCTTGGAATTTTTTTCCTGGTTAGGTTCAGCCTCTAAGTGTCACAAATCATTGAAGTTTGAATAAAAAACAGCTTTATGATATCTGTATATGTTCAATATAAACCTAATAGCTGGAGCAATGTAAAAGATCAGAGGAGATCTGCACATCAGCAAGCTCACATAAATATAAATAACTTAATGCAAATAACAACTTCCTGATCCTTTCAGGATGCTGGAAATCTCCAAGGGCTATGCAGAGAACTCACTTTTTCAGAGCAGTATCCAGTTTCCTGGGGTCTGATTAATTTAAGGTTCTACAAACTGCAAGAGTACAGTTGTACGAAGGAAGAAAACAACTCCTTCCCATACTCCAGTCTTTGATTCAGTGGAACTCCAGTGCTAATATCTGCTATAGTCTTTGTCAACAGCCAGAAAAAACACCACTGAGGTGCTCTGCCTTTCCACATGGAAGATATAATTCCAACCACCACCAGTACCGTGTTTTTTCTAGTTGTTACACTGGGAAAATTGGTATAAACTAAGTAGGCAAAACTATAATAGGCTGGACTCAAACACTCTTAAGAAAATAATAGGCTATAATTTACATTCAGTGAGACATCACCAAAGCAAAAGTAATTATGAATTTCTAGAATACACATTTTTTTGTAATTACACTTAAACCACTGAGAGCAAAATTACTATAAATCATATTTTCATGACTTTCTAGATTCCTTTTAAAAAACAGAAGGAGAACAATTAGACCACATCCCAACCCCGAGAGCACTGCAGCGTCTCTGCTTTAAGCAACACAAAATTCTTACTGGACTACAAAATACAATCCAGGCTCCAGTACCAGTTAGCTGAAAACAGATGGCAGTGCAGAGAGCCCGGGTCCCTGGAGAGCTCACTAATCGAGTCACTCAGTAACTCAGAAAGCTTTCATTTAGCGAACAGACCAGTTCAGTTACCTCTGTAGCCCAGCTGGGCCAGCAGCAGGCAGGGCTGTGGGATCACGATGGCTGATCCCTGCATGTCCCACGGGACACTTACAGCCGGCAAAGAAACCCAACCTTTCAGCGCTACTTCTGGCTGACCATTATTTCGGCTGTCGCCATCCAGGATCGCTGTTGCGATTGCTATGGCTGGAGCACAGCCGGGCCTGGGCTGGCGCACAGCAGGGCCACCGCCACTGCTGCTGTCCCTGTTACAAACACCGTCCCTCTGGTGCCACACCGCTCCTGCAGCAGTAAGCCCAAGGGATGGGGGTAAGGGGTGATGTGTGGAAGCACCTCACACCCCTTCTAACACAGATACAGGCCCATACCCAGAGACAGATGGTCTTCGTGCCCCAGTGCCGTCCTCCTGCACAGAAACCCTGATGAATTCAATTGCCTTTGTAGGCTATTCCGCCTACTGCTCGTGCCTGTAGCTTGCAACAGCTTTGCCTGGCCCTACAGAGGAGATCCCAGGTCAGCCTTGCTGGACCTGTTTTCAAAAGCAGCTTTTAAATCTGCGCACCGCAGTGGCTCTCACAAGCGGCTGGGTGAGCAGCCTGGCCGTGCCGGAGCGCTGGCTGGTGGCTGCGAGCGGGGGGATGCAGAAAAGCCCCCAAATGAACAAGTGTAGACCCTGCGCTGTCTTGAAGGAAGAATATTGTATCTTCTTTTCTACCTTTTATTTTCTGCCGAGGCACGTATATGGAACAGCTGTCTCAAGTGCTGTGAGGATTTTAGGAGGCGCAAAAAAGGAAAAAAACGCGATGCTGCTGTTTAATAAATAAAGTCCAACACAGCTGCTCGACAACACCCCAAAGCGGGCCGAGCCGCGCCCCTTCGCTGCCGGTAGCCAATGCGAGGCGCGCTTGCTGCGGGCGGCGCGGCGGGCGAGTAGCGCGGGGCGTTGTTGCGGGGCCGGGCCGGCGGGGCGGTGCGCGGGGCCGCGGGGAACGGCCCGTGCTCGGTGCTCCGCCCGGTGCGCGCCGCTCCGCCCGCCCGCCCGCCATGAACTCCCTGGACCAGGCTGAGGGTGAGTGCGGCCGCCCGGAGCGAGCCCGGAGCTGCTTCTTCGGCGCGCCGGGAGCTGCCGGCTCTGCGCCCGGGCTGCCCGAGCGCGCTGCCCCGTCCCTGCGGAGCGGGACGAAGCGGCCGCGGGAGGCCTCGGCTCCCTCTGCACCGCGCTCCCGGCGCTCCTCCTCGGCCCAGACAGGCGAGCTGGGGCGGGGTTCCGGGGCCTCCTCGGCGTCCCGCGCTCGGGGCGGGCTGTGCTGCTCCCCGGGCGGCCCGGAGAGCAGCGCCCGCGGGAGGGCCTGTGCTGAGGGCTGCTGCCTGCCGGGGGAGGAGGGAGTGCCCGCGGTGCCTTCTCGGTGCCGCTGCTCGGCTGCTTAGCTGAGGAAAATCCCCTTGTGCTCTGGGGGCTCCTTGCCCGCTCACGGCTTTTTGCGGGAGACGCGTTTCTTACAGCTCTTGAGCCCCACTAGGCGTTACACTGAGCCAGGGCTCCTTTTGCATTTGAAGAACGCGACCTCAAGTAGCTCCTTCTTGTCTGGGGACACTAGGTGGTTTGGGTTACAAGTTCTTTGAAGTTACAGCTTACAGAATGTCAAAACCCTGAAAGGAGTTTTCAGTGTCCAAAGACTGGCAGAGATCTTTAAAATGGACCAGTGTTTCGGAATTAGCAAGTGTTTTGTAGCTGGCACCAGAAGTAGGCAGTGTCGACAGAAACCGATAGTCCGGCGTTGTCAGGGCTTTGTTGCTACGCTTGTGCAATCTGAGGGTTCCCAGAAGTGTGCCCTGCTAGTCACAGCTGCCAAAAGGATCAACTCAGAGTAGGTTCTTAGAACGTGCATAGTTGAAAATAAGTTAAAACTTCCGTTTCCTTTTTTCTGAAAAAGTTTTTTTCATATTTTGTTTCAGTGATGTCTGCATTATGTGAGTGTTTTCTTGAGAGCTTGTCAATAACCTGTTTATATGCCTTCAGGGTGCTGTTTCTCAAATCCAGGTTTTTGCGTGGTGCCTTCTGTTCCCCCTCTCACTTCAGTGGCTAGTTGGAGGGGTTTGTGCTAATCGGGGAACAGTTAATTAGTCGTGATTGCCGGCGGTGGTTTAACTTCCCCAGAAGGGATGTGGAGGACAGGCCATTAACTTCTGTGTTCTTGGCAGTAATTAAGACTGGTTAGCTGTTCTGTGGCTTAAGTCAAGGTGCTATAATCTTCCCCCATAAATTCACCTGAAAACCACTTAGGAATAAATTGACAGTATAGAAAATTGCTTTCATAGTGATCATAATAGATTTATTTCTTCCAAGCTTATTCTTTAATTTCTTTATTGAGATAACTACTATAGCAATAGTTGGAAGTTGAAGTTCCACATTGATGCTGACAGAGACTTTAGCTGAAAGTTAAGTTGATCCTAATTAAAGCTTTACTTCAGGTAGAATTCTGGCTTTAACTTGAATGTTATCAAATATTGACCTTGTTGAAAGGAAGTGTAAATCTAACCTGGACTTAAAGTGAAACAGCTCCTTGGAGGCAATTAAGAGTATCAACTTGAAATGGATTTAACAGCAATTTCAGTGGAAAGACCATGGGAGAACGATGGCAATAAGAAGAAAGATGTATTTTTAAGAAATAATGATTGGAATAAGATCATTGGAGCAGTGTTTGCTGTGGGATTTTTTGCATATGTGTGTATATGTATATCATGACACTCAAAGTTTCTACAAAACAAAGTCATCAAAGCCACACTGCTACAATAACCCCTTGAACAGTGGCAAGTGACCAACTTTTTTTTTAATTGTCGTTATGTTGATATTAGAACATAATGGTTTCCTGATGTACTTAGAGCTTCAAAATGTGATACTTTTTGTTTTGTTTTGAGAGCCAATTTAAGCTGCTATAAACCGAAGTCACTGTTTCTAAAGATGTCTGAAATAGTGTGATTTCTCAACTGTATTGATTTTTCTTTTTGTAAGTGGGAATGTTTTTTGCTTTTAGATTAACTCCACCACTGTACTTCTTACCTGAAGCTGAGTAAAGCTACTATGACTGCATATAAAGGATCATTGCATTGGTTTTCTCTGCCTGTTTGAGAGCTGGGTGTGCACGGGGGAATTCTTTTTATCTTTTACTTTAAAATATGACTAAATAGATGAAGATCTAATTATGCTTGATATACATCTTTCCCAGATCTCAAAGCTTTTGAAAGAAGACTTACTGAATACATTGCATGTTTGCAACCAGCTACAGGACGTTGGAGAAGTAAGTTTGGTGTTCCAAGGAATAAATAGAAGTCTGTCTTTCAAGTTTGTTAGATTTACCAGTGTTTATCCTTTATTTAAGTTTGCCCAAAGAAAAATTTTTATTTATACTTGCTTTAAAATTTGTGGCATACATTCAAACACTCTGCAGCAAGTTCATACAGGATAATAAACTAATATTTTAGCCAGAGTTAGGAAAATGAGGTTAAGATTGAATTGACTCAAGGCTGAATTATTCTGGAAATATCTGAAACAACAAGTTATGTTTGTTTCTGTTTTATTTGGTTTTTATTATGTTACTGAAGGTTTTTTCTTCAAGACTCAGACTGCCCAGACTGTTGCTGTAGTTACTTAAACTAAATATTAGGTTAGGTGAGACAGTCCCTATAAAATTGAAGGTGAAAAGGTTACACCAGTTTGCCATAAAGGCAGCTTTGTTATGACAGGAAGGTTTGAAGGAGGGGGAAGGCAAAAAATTCCACAGATATGCTGCCAGCTTTGGGATCAGTGGTCTGTGATGGAAATACACAACTTTGTTTTGTTTTTGAGACTCTGCTGAAGTTTTCCTACTCAAAGAACACAGACTTTTTTTTTAGAACACATAAAATACTATCTTTTCTCCTGAGAGGTCAATTTTGAATGAAGGAACTGAAGGAATGACTACTTAGAAAGCAAAACCAAACACTATTAGCACTACCTCAAACCCCATTGTCTCAGAGCAGTCAGATATTTATGTGTAGTTCTGCTGAGTTTGTGCACACCTACTTTAGGAATGCATTTGGCTTCCAAAATTGCTGTTTTCTGTCAGTTATAATTAAAAAAATACTGGAAACTTTTAAGCATATTTAAATGAGGCCTGCATAACTAATATTGTATTCAGTGGCTCATGTTTTTCCCCAAATTGCTTGTTTCATAATTCACATAAAATAGGGACTTTCTATTTTAATTATAATGGGGTGTGTGATCAATGTTAACTTTTCTTCCTGTTATCCTGAAAAGAAAGTATTTATGTGATGTAGAGAAGAAGCTCTGCTTTTAATTGATCTTTTTCAACTTCCTTTTGAAGAGATAACTTTGGCTCTTTCAAAGGACCAGGACGTTTTTACTTGACAAAATTTAGATTTTCAGATGTACTTGTTCTGTCCAGGAACTTTGTACGGAATCCTTAGGGTTTCACATATGAGAAGTGTCTTTGCATATTTTCATTTCTGCTTTCCAATTAGGAGCTTTTCCTCCCTCTGGAGTGAGAAAAGAAATATATGTTTAAGAGTTGCTACTGAAAAATAGATGCATTTAAATTTGAGTGAGGTATACAGTTTATGACTCTCATTTTTTTTCTTCATCAGTGATTTTGATAGTGGTATCAGTCTGCACAGCAACTGGGGCTTGGAACTGGTTAATAGACCCAGAGACACAAAAGGTAAGGTCAGGCTAATGCCACATGTGCTGTGTTCCATGGCTTGGTGCTGCAGTCAGGTGGTATATTGAAAACTGAAAGGCTAAACGCATTCTCACATGAAACTGGGAGGTGATTTTTATTAAAGCTGTCAAGCTGTCTGGAGTTGTTGTGGAATGTGTCCTGGGACAATGCCTGCCAAAACACTGTACCCTGAATGCTTATCTAAAGAATTGTTCACAAGTACTAGGAAATGGCTGGGAGCAGTATTTTATTTTTAGTTAAGGGATCTAGGCAGTGACTTTCTGTGTGCTTTAGAAAGTATGCAGTTGAACTAACCTGATTTCTTTCCTAGGTATCATTTTTCACGTCACTTTGGAATCACCCATTTTTCACAATTAGCTGTATTACCCTAATAGGCTTGTTCTTCGCTGGAATACATAAAAGAGTGGTGGCACCATCAATGTATCCTTTGATAGTGTTTGTCACGTTAAAAGTGTAGTTATTGCAGTTGTTGAAGCCTGTGCTAATAATGCTTTTTTAGCTTTGGCTTACTGTGTGTACAAGGTTAGTTGCTTTCCTTGACACAATCCACAGTATAGCAGCCCGATGCCGAACGGTTTTGGCAGAATATAATATGTCCTGTGATGATGTAAGTGTTAGTGCTTCATTGCCTAAACCTTCTTTGTTAAAAAAAGGAAATAATTCAAAGACACATAGTCTGCTTTTCTGAACAGCACTTGTATATATCTCAGCAAATTCTGTGTCTGTAAAACTGGAATGCGGAATACTTAGTATCATTTTGTGTGTTGTTTTAAACTCTCCTGGTAACATTAAACGTGAATCATAATCGTTGGATTCAACTTTCAGGGTTTAAACTTTATTTATTTTGTTTTCTGTCTTGCAGACTGGAAAATTAATTTTGAAACCTAGGCCTCATGTTCAATAAGGGCTGTCTTCCTTCATGTTTTTCCACTGCCATGGAAACCAAAAATGACCTTTTTAAAGGTAGTATGACAGCAAAAAAATCAAATGGGACTGGTTGTCACTGCCTGGGAGTAAAAGTCTTAACACAGTTGACAGTGAAAGTGTGCAATATTACTTTCTTGAATATTTATCCAAATTTTTTGTTATCACATTATCAGTGCTTTTGCTACTTCTGATTACCTCTTTTTCAGTATTAGTGTCACTTTTTTACTTCAGCTAGAACAGAACATACAGGTGAAGTATGTTAATCGGCAATGAAGTTGAACTTGAAAATGAAACCTCATTTGTGTTACGTGTCTTTCTAAGCTATTGTAAATAGCAGATCGATGCCAATGTTCAGGAAAAAAGTAATATCTGGTGTATGGATTTTCTTGTTCTCATGAAGAGTATTGAAAGGAACGTTTGCCATTCTCCTGATGTTTTATTAGCACACTTCCTCATTACAGCCGTCCTTGTCTCCTGGTCACTCTTTTGGAACTGGTTTAAAGGCTCGCAGGAAGACTGACTGTTTGTGCCGGAGAAAACTGGTCTTACTGTTAAAGAACTTCACAAATATATCAAGGATTACATTTGTCAAGTTGTGTATATAGTGCACCAGCCACTTTCCTTGTGGTCATACGTAGTTCCTTGTTTGATCTGGTTCAAAACACTTATTTTAAGATTTTAATTTTTTTTTATTGTCTTAAATATGCTTGTATCTTCCCAATTGTAAGGTTGTATTGTATCTAAATCCACCTGACCATTCTGAGTGGATTTTTATGCTCTGATAGTCAGAATATGAAACTGGTATGGCAAATGTATAACATCAGATTTGGTGAAGAAAATCTAAAGCGTGCCACAATAAAATAACACAATTTGTTATTCAGAGTGGTAACAACAAGATGTGGATGATATATGCATAAAGTGTAACTTTTGAATAGCTAAAACTGTCAAGTTTTAAGAGTTTAAGTTGTTCAAGGTGCCTTTTTAAATGTTTTGAACTCTTTAAATTGACTCTAACTGCAAAGCTCTTGCAACTTCAGTAACCCCTACTACAGGGTAGACTGGCTTTTAAAGGCAGCCTATTGATGTAACTATGTCAGTTGAAACTTAAGAATTGTCTTCTGGATTTTTTTTCCAGTAAGTCTTCTGCCCATCCATTATTTTTAACTGCTGTATATTTTGTAGGTAAATGTGTATAAAATAAAATCTTTGTATAAACAGGTGTTATCTTCTTTTGTACTGTGCAAATACAGATCTCCACTGAACACAGAAGAACTTCAGAAAATTTATAGCTGCACTCTGTAACTTTCATACCGGACCAACATTTCCTGTATTTGATGTGGGTCTTATAATCTAAGATACTGACACCAGAGAGGAAACCCCTTCCAGGTTTCCATCCTCCAGGTCAATCCCGCCTCTGTAAGTGCCCTTAGGGAAATTGTTTCTATTGATCATTTTCTTGTTTGAGCGCAGTAGCGCGGTGTCCCCACTCGCCGCCGGGCTTGGGGCGGCGGGGGTCGGGCGCGGATGTCCGGCGGCGGCGGCGGGGCTGCGGCAGGGCG